CACTCTTCCTGGATGATACCTTTGACATCCTCCCACAACTCATCTGGTCTTCGCTCATTAGTGTTCACGGCCTCAAACCTGTTCCTGAGATGATTCTAAAATTCATAGGATTAGGTATTATTTTCATGACAAGATTACAGAAAAAGAAATGCATATTAAATTGGACTGTGGACTGGGGGGAATTGTATAACAATGAAAGAATTTTTTTCTTCAAAGAGGAAAACAAACTGGGGGGAGGGGTGGGCAAGGAGGAAAATGTACAACAATGAATGAATGGGGTAAAGTTAAATGGAAAGAATATGCTGTAAAAAATATGGGTGTTGCATTAAAAATCATTAATAAAAAAAAGTGGTAACAAAATAAAAGGGGAAGACTCTCTATGAGATGGATTGACACACCAACTATGGAAATGGGCTCAAGCGTGTCAGGGATGAGAAGGATGGCACAGGGTTCAGATCTGTTGTTCCGAGTGTCATTATGAGTCATACTCATCTCAATGGTATCTAACAACAACAGCAGCAAAATAGAAGTGAGCTATTGATACAGCAGCTCTAATGAATCTCAGAGTCATTATGCTAACTGAAAGAAGTCAATCCTAAAAGATTACATACTACATGATTTCATGTATATAATATTCTGGAAAAAAATGACAAAATTAGCTGCAACTGCAAACTCAGAGATACATGGTTCGGGTCCACCAGATGCTCTGCTGGAGAAGGAGGAACAATCTCCTTCTGTACCAGTCTGATCTGATTTGATGGTACACACAAAAAAATAATGAAATAAAATAAATTTTTAAAAAAGACAAAATTATATAGAATTATATAGACAGACCTACAAGGTGCACAATAGCACCAGGGAGTAAGTAAGTACCCCTTAGAACAATCATTCTAGATCAAAGGGCAGCATTTGTCTAGGGGAAAGTTCAGAAGGCTGAAAGGAGGAGCAAAGAAGGACAAATGAAAATGGGAAAAACAGGAAGGGAGAAGAGTTCAGCTACATTTTGTACATTGTAGAGGATGCCATAAGACATTAAAGCATGTTTTGATTAACATAACTGATTGCATTTGTTAATGTCACTAATGTGCGTGACTGATTGAACGGAAAACCAATTTGCTCTGTAAACTTGTACTCAAATAATAATTTTTAAGATATGGTTTAAAAAAGAGACAAAATTATAGTGAAGATGATCAGTGGTAAACAGAGTTTTGGGGTGCAAGGGTGAGACTGCACAGAAGTGTCATGTCCTGTACCAGAGCTGATTAGATTGGAGCTTGCACCAAATCTATCCAAAACCAAGCCAGATCAATCGTCACAAGCCGTGCCAACTCATAGCCGCTTCCTCAGCTTCCCAAGCTGTCAATCTTTCTCAGAGGAGGCTGCTTATCTTTCTCTAGTACCACAGCCGGAGGGTTCAAACTTCCAGTAAGCAGCCCAGCAGGAGGACACTCTGCCATCAGAGTTCCTTACATACATCTGCACATGTGCTAAATTCCTAGAATGATATATTTTTTTAATTTTTTTTTTTACCAGGCATCCAAGACTGCTACAAAAGCAGAGCAGACAGGGACAGATAAGAAACACATTTATTTCGAGCAGGAGGAACAAATACAGTACTTAACAGCTATGTTGTAATCTAAATCCTGCTTTAGGATGATACATTTTTCAAAATCAAACTATCATGTGTTGAAATACTTGACTTGTTGAAATGTTGACTTCAATATGATGGTCTGATTTTAATGAAATTTCCAAAATCAGCAGCTGTGCAGACACCAAGGTTTATGAGTGGTTACTAGGGTTTGAGGGAGAGGGAGGTAGAAGGGATCACTGCCTGTTTCTATTGCAACAACTCCATTGTCATCAAGTTGGAACCAACTCAGAGCTGACCTTTCATTTTTTTTCAGAGGCTGGAAATGACACAAAGAAGATTGCTCATCTTTCTCCCTTGAAGCAGCTGGTGGATTTGAACTGCTTGCCTTTGAGTTGGCAGCTCAACTCCTTACCCAGTAGGCCACCAGAGACCCATGTTTCTGTTAATTAATAAGTGGTGATCATTGCACAAATTAATAAACATAGTTAAAGTCACAAATGATACATACAAAAAATGTTGAAATGACAAATGTTTTCTCAAATCTTTGTACTGGGTTTTTTTTTAAAAGGGTCACTTATTATTGTTGTTGTTGTTGTTGTTGTTACGTGCCATCGAATTGATTGCAACTCATAGCGACCCTATGTCCAAGAGCGCTAAACGCTGTTCTATCCTGTGCCAACCTCGCCATCTCAAACGCACTCATTCCCAACACTCCAGTCACAGAATCGATCCATCTCATTGAAGGTCTTCCTCTCCTTTGCCGCCCCTTCACCCTGCCAAACATGATGTCCCTCTCCAAGGACCTTGCAACATGCCCAAAGTAAGTCAGACGAGGCTTCAGAATCCTAGACTCCAAGGAGCATTCTGGCTTCACCTTCTCCAGGACAAACCTGTCTGTTCTCCTAGAAGTCCACATTCAACACTCGAGAAGTATGAATGTAGGAAAATTGGATATTGCTAAGAAGGAAATGGAACGTATAAATATTGACATACTAGGTATTGGTGAAATGAGATGGTTTGGCATGGGACATTTTGTATCAGATGATCATATGAGTTACTATGCCGGGGATGAAAAGGTGAGAAGAAATGGGGTTGGTTTCATAATTTAAAAAAGTCATTTCTAGATCTAACCTGAAATACAATGTGGTGAGTGACAGGATAATATCCATACTCATACAAGGAAGTCCAGTGAATACCACTATCATTCAAATATATGCACCAACAACAAGAGCCAAAGAGGAGGAAATATAAGATTTCTAACAACTTTTGCAGTCAGAAATTGATCAAACATGCAATCAAGATGCATTGATAATAATGGGCGACTGGAACACAAAGGTTGGGAACAAGGAAGAAGGATCAGTAGCAGGAAAACAACTCGGGCTTGGTGAGAGAAATGAGGCTGAAGCTAGAATGATAGAGTTCTGCACATTCAATGATTTATTCATTGCAAATACCTTTTATAAGAAACATAAACACAGGCTATACACATGGATTTCACCTGATGGTATGTATAGGAATCAAATAGATGACATTTGTGGAAAGACTCAGTGGAGAAGCTCAATATCAGCAGTGAAAACCAGGCCGGGTGCTGATTGTGGGACAGACCACCAACTACTCATATGCAAGTTCAAGCTAAAGTTGAGGAAAATTAAATTAAGTCCACGGGGACCAAAATTTGACATTAAGTCTGTCCCACGCGAATTTCAAAACCATCTCAGGAACAGGTTTGAGATCTTGAGCACCAAATGAGCTCAGGGAGGATATCAAGAAAATCGTCCATGAAGAATGCAAACGATCATTACAAAAGCTGAAGAAGAAGAAAAGACCAAGATGGATGTCAGATGAGGGTCACTATAGTGAAAAATAAAATAAACAATAAACTATTATCTTCAAATGAGTGTTCATCCAGCTCCTTAGGGAAGTCCACCTTTCCTCACCACTGAGTTGCCAGAAATAATAGTTTTCCTGGAGAAAATGGGAAAGCAGAGCCAGAGGAGGAGAGTTTGAGCCAGGGCCAGGGCTGGTCAGAGTGGCTGCTGTGGGTAGGAATTCACAAGCCCGGAGCATGTGCAGTGGGCATATTCCAGTTGAGGAATTGCTTCTGGGCCCTGCTCCGTCCATGTGTTCTCACCATTTAAAAAAAAAAATTTTTTAATCCCAATTGGAAAAGAAGCTGGCTGCAGATGCTGGGTCGACCTCTTGGGTGGGCCCCTATCTCACCTCACTTGTGGTCAAGCTTTGGCCAACGCCCCCTCAAAAGGGAGTGAGAGAATTGAAGTGATAGCCCCTCACCCCACCAGGCCTATGAGGCCACACTGCCCACTGTCGCCACACCTGATAAGAGAACCCCCTCCCCGCTCCTGGAGGACCTCCCTAGGCCCTCAGCTCTCTATATAAGGAGTCCTAGGGGTTGAGCACCTCCAAAGCCACTTCTGAGCAAGCTCCACCAACTCCCAAGAAGCCACCATCATGTCTCTGACCAAGGCCGAGAGAACCATCATCACGTCCATGTGGGGCAAGATCTCCACACAGGCCGACTGCATTGGCACCGAGACCCTGGAGAGGTGAGCTCCTGACAGGGTGTGGGACGGGGCTGTAGGCGAGTTAGTGAGAGGGGTCAGTAAGAAGGGCCTGGGTAAGGATGAAGGATAGAAAAATGGAGAATGGGAACATGAACATGTAGGGAGGGAAGGAGGGACGTGGGCTCAGTGAGAAGGGGGTTCTTACTGCAGACCAAGCAACAAAAAAAAGTAGCAATAGTGATCTTGGCTGTATTTGAAATTTTCTATTTTAGTGGTCATGGACATTTTCTATTCATTCGTTTTTATTTCCCCCCCTTTAATCCACTGCATTAAATATCATTTGTTTTGACTACTGGGTTATAAGCAGCAGCGAGTTGTTGAGTTGGCTGGGTTTTGAGCTCTCCAGGCCTAGTCCTTAGGGCATTAGGCTGCTAACTCAAAGGCCTGACCTCTCTGGACCAGGTGGGGTTTCACCAGCTGCTCCCAAGATGGGAACCCAGCTGAGAGACGTTGAGCTGGTCCCAGCTCCACAACAATGAAGGTTTTAGTCTGACTGAATCACATAAGTTGTGGCCCGAGATATTCGCTCATGCTTTCTGCTCCCCCACCCCCAGGCTCTTCGCCAGCTACCCCCAGACAAAGACCTACTTCCCCCACTTTGACCTGCACCCCGGCTCTGCGCAGCTGCGCGCCCACGGCTCCAAGGTGGCAGCAGCCCTGGGCGACGCAGTCAAGAACATCGACAACATCTCGGGCGCGCTATCCAAGCTGAGCGAGCTGCACGCCTACATCCTGCGTGTGGACCCCGTCAATTTCAAGGTGGGCGCGCAGGAGGTGGACGGGGTGGGCGTGGAGCAGGGACTGGGGTGACGTGGGATCTCAGCCAGGGCGCCCCCAGCCCCATACTAAACTGTCTTCACCCTCAGCTCCTGTCCCACTGCCTGCTGGTGACTGTAGCCTCGTACTTCCCCGCTGAATTCACCGCTGAGGCCCATGAAGCCTGGGACAAGTTCCTGTCTGTCGTGTCCTCCGTACTGACTGAGAAGTACCGCTAAACACAGCCACTTGGACCCCTGAAAATGGGCTGTGCTTCTCCTGGCCCCAAACCTCAGGTCCCCCCATGTCCCCTGACAGGGCAGCACCAATAAAAAAAATCAACCTTTCTTGGTCTCTGTGGTCACTGTGCTGTGGAGATGGAGGATTTCCTTGGGGTCACAGGTGGGATGTGGGGATCTTTGCACGGACCCCATGGTTGCAGTCACTGTGTCAATTCATCTTGTTGAGGGTGTTCCTCGGTGTTCCTCTCTTTCTCTGACTCTCTAACATGATGTCTTTTCCCAAGGACTGGCCCCTCACAATAAAATGCCCACAGTATGTGAGATGGAATTTCACCACCCTTGCCTCTAAGGAGTACCCTCATTCCATTTCCTCCAAGACAGATTTCTTTGTTCTTGCAATTCAGGAGCTATTCAGTACTTGCTAAATCCTCCCAGATTCCTATGATGAAGGCATTACATATCATTTCTCACTGAAGGAGAAATAAATTGATGGAGATAGTAAGCAAATATTGGTGGGGGCCTTTTGAGGAAAGCCTTGATCATGTTACTAAACATTTTGTCGGCTACAAATTCAGCTCTAGGAGATCTTGAAAGCTCCCATTTGAAAAATATCCCTGAAGAACATCATGCTGAATAAAATATCCCAGTCACAAAAGGACAAATACTGCATAGTAATACTGTTATAAAGCAGGTTTGACATGAGGAGTTGGGAGGAAAATAGGATAAGAATGGAGAGAACACTGCAGTAGAATAGATGAAGGAAAGAACTGCATAAAGGATTAAATAATTCGGTGATTAGGCACTATATGAACAGAATAAGAGGACTTGGGGGAGGTAGGTAATCATG